GATGAGACTCTGGGCCTTAAAACCTGCTTCAGTCTGAGTCCAGGCAGCCCAAGAGCTTACACCAGGTGGTTTCACAGAGGGAATTAATTCAGAGAACTGGTTACAACAGAGTTCAAAGAACGGACAGGGCACAGGAGGCAACTTGGAGATTAGCTTGGTCCATGCCTACCAGTGTGTTACCAGATGCTGAACAAATATTATTTGCTGACCATCAAGAACAGAAAGACTGAGTACTCACTTTGTGCCACAGTTCTGCTGGTTTAGCTGCATGACATCCATCATAATCATCATGTGGGTATCATTATCCCATCTTAAAGAAATGGAGGCTCAAAGCAGGTATGGAACAACATGCCCAAGACCAGGGGTCCTCAAACTATGGCCCGCGGGCCACATGCAAATACAAATATTGTATTTGTTCCCATTTTGTTTTTTTACTTCAAAATAAGATATGTGCACTGTGCATAGGAATTTGTTCATAGTTTTTTTTTAAACTATAGTCCGGCCCTCCAACGGTCTGAGGGACAGTGAACTGGCCCCCTGTTTAAAAAGTTTGAGGACCCCTGCCCAAGACCATTCCAAGTAAGTGGAGGAACCAGGATTGGAACCTGCATCCTTTGTACAAAATCACGCTGCCAACCTGCCACCGGTGGGCACCTTGGCTGTCCCAGGAGAAAGACAACCTTAGGATAGCCATGAGGAAAGCCAGGATTGGGGCTCTGCTGAAATCCCCTGGGCTCGTGGAGAACAGGGACAGGAAAGGCCTGGCCTTGGCCCTCCACATCCCCTGCATTCTCCCACACAAGCGGCTCATGGCCACCCCTCTGTCTCTGCTCCCAGTCAAGGCAGAGGGAACCACAAGCCGCACACCCTGCAGAGGAGTTCAAGGCGCTCAGGGTGGGGCACAACTGAGGACAATAGAGCCTTTCTCCAAGCTGGGCACAGGCTCCTGGGGGGCAGGGAGGGGAGGACTGGCTGCGGCAGACAGAGCCCAGCCCACCCAGCCCCTCAGGGGAGCACTGCATTAACAAGAGGTGGCTCTGGGGCCAGCAGCATGGGGAGGGGCCACTCCTGCCTCTCCCCCATTCTTGGTCTAGGCTTTGGTTCTGGGCCAAGATCCCACAGATCAGGACTGTGGGAGCCAGCTGAGCAGGGAAGCCGTAAGGGTGACCTCCCTGCCCTGGGTTAGCGGATCTGGGACCCTTAGTGAGGCAGAGATGGAAAAAGGAAGCTTCCCACCTCAGAGACCCCTTCTTCATGTTCCTTGGGCTGCTGCAAACCCCTCCAAGGGTCTCCAAAGCATGTCCCAAGGCTCCTGCCATCTCACCCTTCAGCTCTTCAGCTCCCACCTTATTCCATTTTGTCCTAGTCAAGCCGCCCAGCCCCTTTCTGCCCTCAGATCTCTGCCTGCTTCTGAGAATTCTACCATCTCAGATCTTCCTAACCCACCACCAGATCAGCCACTACCCTGGAGCCCTTTGTCATTTTTGTCTCTCTGGCTTCAGTAAGTACCCAGCTCACAGTAGGCACTAGCAGGGGTGGGCAAACTTTTTGACTCGAGGGCCACAATGGGTTCTTAAACTGGACCGGAGGGCCGGAACAAAAGCATGGATGGAGTGTTTGTGTGAACTAATATAAATTCAAAGTAAACATCATTACATAAAAGGGTACGGTCTTTTTTTTTTTAGTTTTATTCATTTCAAACGGGCCGGATCCGGCCCGCGGGCCGTAGTTTGCCCACGGCTGCACTAGAGTAATGTTTCTATTAGAAAAATGTTTCTATTAGATCACCTCCTACCTCCCTCAGAGCCCACCACACCTCATCCTCCTTCCTCTAAGAAGTAAAGAAAATAAATCCACTCACCCCTCCTCCCCCTAACTGCTTCCTCCCAGGCCAGCTGGCACACCCCCAAGTGGCCCCACCCACTTGACCAAGGGGGCTCTGGAGCCAGCCTGTTGGGTACGCAGCCCAGTTGGCACCCAGACTCACAACTCACACATGGCAGCAACTCAACAGTAACTGAATCAACAGACACGCTATCCTTAAACCTTGCAATGGCTCTCCAGCGGCTACAATAAAAAGTCCACAGTTAAAGAGATTTTAAGATTCCACTTTCCTCTTTGGTTTCTCTTTACCCTTCTCAGATCACATTGTTACCTAAAAGCTCAATGCTCTTTTTCTCACCTCAAAAGCTTTCCCTAAGCCTGAATCAGATTCTTTTCTTCCTTCAGAAAGCCTTTCCATTCTCCCCCCAGGTCAGGTTAGTGCCTCTGAGCTGGGCTGTCCTCATGTGTGTAGTGAATACTTGCTTTATTATCTGTCTTCCTGCAGACTGTGAGCTTCCTGAGGGCAAGAATGTTTACTGCTAAATTCCCAGTGCCCAAAAGTGCTCAGTAAATCTTTGTTAAATCAGTTCACATAAAACAGGAAGAATGGACAAAGGAAGCGCATTTTCTTGTTCATTCAGAAGAGGGAGGAAGCATGAATCTGGGTGGGGTGGAGGACCAGGTAGGGGGATTGAGACCCTGGAAGCTGCCCAGTGAGCAGAAGCACCCAGAACCATGCACTGGTGGCCCCCAACTCCACAGAGCCCCCCAGCCCTTCCCTCACCAAGCTTGGTCACAGCTGCACTCAGCACCCTTCCCACTGGAGTTCTGGGCCGGTGCCTAGAGCCACGACCCCTCCCAGGCCGCGTGGGCCTCCCTAGCGCCAGCCCTTGGTGCCCGTGGGCGCCCAGGTGGCAGCTTTGTGGGCAGTTCAATGGCTCCTCTGTTCCACTCCTGGCCCCACACCCTGCTCCAGGAAGCCCCAACCCCCCTGCCCTGGGCTGGGGTGCCCAAGGAGCCGCCCATGGGGTTGGGAGTCAGGAGCAACAGCAGAAATGCCTGCTGGGAAACCAGGCAGGACAGGCACTTGCCCGAGCACAGAGGACCCGTGTCATAGGCCAGGCCTGCTTCCTCGGGAGCTTCTGGGTTACACAAGGAGGCAAAACTGCTCAGTGGGGGAAGCTGCCCCTGTAGGCTTCCGACACCTTTGTCCTACCACCAGTTATTTTGTGTATTTACCGGACTCTAATGTGCTCACTATTATACACCACGTCCACCACGGAGCCTGGCACACAGTGGGTGCCCAGTGCACATTACCTGGAGGCTCGACAGGCCTCCTTCTCCCTATACCCATAGACTCTCAGATCCCCATTTATCTGAACTCTGACCAACCAGTAGCAGCTGTAGGAGCAGGCTGTCAAGAGACTCGACTTTAGAATGGGGATCAAAGCCCCTGACTCAGGAGCAGAAGAGAGAAACTAGCAGGGAAGACATCAAGGCCAGGGCTGATATTTGGGCAAGCCGTCTGGTAGTCACAATGCTGTTGAAATGCTGAATCAGAGGGCCCCCTTGTCCCCATACCGCCTGCCCACCAGAGATCCCCTCCTTTCTGCCATCCAGCAGGGTGCCTCCAGAAGGCAGCTCTTGTGCCTGTTCCAACTAGGCAGTGCCCCTCCCAGAGCAGCTGTCAGGTTTGGACTCTCCTTCCTGCCCAAGCCTCTCCTGAGGTGGCTGGAAGGCCCACCATCTGGTGGAACCTTCTACTCTGCAGCTGGGCCCTGCTATGAGTCTCTGACCTCCGCCCTCCATGGGGCTTGTGAGTCCAGGGAGACCAAGGGGACAAACATCACAGGATTTGGCTCTGCAAGGTCCCCAAAATCTACCACTGCCCCCTTTCTCCATTTCTTTAGTTTACATTTACTATCTGGAGGCCTCTGCATTTTTATCTGTAAAATGGGGCTGGTATTAGTACCGACCCCATAGGCTTGGAAAGATGATGATGGATGCAATCGATGCTGCCAGCCCTTAAAAGGTGTGTCTATGGCTCCCTCGAGATTGGGTGGCAAATGCTGTCCTTCATCATCCAGAAATTGGTGAACTCAGCCCAGAATGCACTCCTCATTCCTTCTCTGAGTCTCCTTCCCCTTGTTCACTAGCAAATGTCTAGTGAGCACCTCTGCTCTGCGGGGCTCCTCTCCATAGTGCAGGGGTCCCCTGGCACGGCGCTAGCGGCCAATCCGGAGTCGGGCTGCCTGGCTGTCAACCTGGGCTCTCCTGCTTACTAGCTATGAAACCACGCAAGTGTGACCAGGCATTCCTGTGCTGCAGTCTCCCTGTTTACAACCCGGGGATAATAACTGAATTTCCTCATAGGACTGTGGTAAGGATCACTGGCCCAATCCATGCCAGCCGCTTCAAAATGGTACCAGGCACAAGGTAAGTGCTCAGTAAATGTCCGCCATTAGATCATTAAAGATGAAGAGACCAAATTCCTTGGTCCTCCAGAAGCTCACAGTGACAGACACAGAATAAACTCCAAAAGATTGAAGCACCTCGAGGTGCTGTGTAGCCCCACGTCTGGGACCCAGGCTCTAGAGGCACCACAGGTTCACTGCTGTCATATAATATCACGCTGGTTCTATGGTGAGGGCAACTGGAGTAGGCAGCAGGTCCCCCTCCAAGCCCAGGGCCCAGTCAGCTGCTCCCATTCCCATTCATGGTCTACAGGGTCCCAGCTGTTCCAGACTCCCAATGGACAGAGTGCCAGGGCTGAGGTGTCTCTGAGTCATCGCCCAAGCCAACAAGCCAAAGATGTCTTCTAGAGGGTCGGAGTGCCGCAATGTGAGGAGGCGGCACTGGGTTGAGTGGACAGGCCTGCCATACAATCCCACAGGTCTCAGGCCTCAGCCCTCCCCAAAGCACCAACTGCAGCACAGACGACCAGTTCAGGCCACACGGGGTTTAAGAGGTCTAGCCAGTCCACAAAGGTTCCTGATCTGGACCTCTCTCTTCTCCTCCCTCTACTTCCACAGGAGGCCGTGTGCTAGATAAACAGATCAGACCTCGGGGCTCTGTGGAAGGCATAACAAGGAAAATTAAAGCAAACAAGCAAACTCAAAAAAGTCAAGGACCAGGTCTTCTGGGTGGTGAGTCCCTTTCAGGGCCTAGGTATCATTTAATGATACATAAACACTCAACGAACCATGGGTAAGGGAGGGCCCCTACCCGCCCTCCTAACCCCAGGGGAGGCATGTCTTGTGTAATTTCAGACACCCAAATATCTCCTTCACTTTACTGTACTCTTCCTACCTGTCTGTTCTAAATTTGGGCCTGAGGGATCCAAGTCCATGTGGATACCATCTATGAGGTACACCTATTTTTATTTACATTCTTAATATGTTGGGCCCTGTGAACCCCTGTGAGAATCTGAGAGCTGTGAGACTTTTCCCAGAAAAAATGCTCATCTACTCAAATATCTGCACAATTTCTGGAGGCTCATGAACTCCAGAAACGCCCCCATAAGCTAAGAATAAGAGCTCTAGTTTCACTTCATACAGGATGCCTGTCTTATTGTTCCCATCACATTCCTCTCTCTCTCTCTCTCTCTCTCTCTCTCTCTCTTTCTCTCTCTCTCTCTCTCACACACACACACACACACACGCACGCATATCTTGGCATGATGGAGGCAAAGGACACACTGTGCAGATGGTCACAGGCAACTCAAAGCTTCATCCAATCAGGGCCCCTTTCCCACCCCATCCCCCTTTCCTAGACCAGGTTTTTCCTGTTGAAGGTCTGAGAAAAGGGAGCAAAGCAAGGGCAGGCCTGGCTCTCTAACCCCTCTGTCAGAGCACGGCCTGGCGGCCAGAAAGGGTCCAACACACCAAGTGGGAGCTTCTTTTTCGGCCAGATGGGGAGTCCCTGCCCTCCCATCCCATGCAGGGCTCGGCTCTTGCTGCTCCCATGCCTGTCCTGCCAGGCCTGCCCAGATGGCCACCTGGTACTCTGCCAACTGCAGCAGTAGGTCTCAGGGTGGGCCAACAGCCAAAGCGCTGCCTGGAGAGAAAGCTAATGGTCCTGAGCCCCTTGGGCCTCTCAGGGTCCCATCTAAGTCCCCATTCTCTCCTACCCCATAGTCACTGAACTCATTTCCCCTCAATCTCTCTGGCTCATCACAGAGGCATTTCCACCCATTTCATCAAACCTCACAAACCAGCCCCTTTCACAGGGTTCTGACCCACCCAGCACCAGTCACTGGGCTCTCGGAGGAAATTGACCAGCCCAAGGTACATCCAGTGCCTACCTCACCTCAGCAAGTGACCCAAAAGCAACAAGCCAAGAGGATCTGCAGGGCTGAGAGGAGGGAGAACAGAGAATAGGGATAAAACAGCCACAGAATGGAAAAACTGGCTCAGTAATGCCTCAAGGGCCACAGCCAGCTCACTGTTCAGGGACAGAGTGAGTTCTGTAGGCATGTGCTGACACTTGGATTTAGGGTAAGGGGTTCAGGTACCTCGTCAGGGCTCTTCCTAAGGGAAGACTCTGGGGTCCCCAAAACGGCTCCTAAAGGGGTGAAGCTGCTCTCTCCGAATGGTGGGAAGTCCCAGGTCAGCATCCCTGCCCCTGGGCCATCTTGGATGGCATCCTGGTTCCTTCTCATCACACCTGGTAAAGAAACCCCTGATTGTGTGGTTCCCAGGATATCCTGCTGGATTTCATTCCTGTCCCTGCAGCCGACAAAGGAGTCAGACACCTCTTGGCCCCCAAGGGCTGAACAGCCCACAGATCACAGAGCTGACCCAGGGTGAGGCATGATGCTCTCAGTGAGAGGAGGCTGCAGGTCTCTGAATGGTTGTGTGGGCACAGCTCCTTCACTGTGGGGTCTTTGTGGCGAAATGTACAAGGGGGGTCTCTGACCTTGGGCCACCCCGGCAATGGACAGTCATCATTCGGGACGAATTTATGCACCCTTCTTTATGCCAAAAATGGTGTCCATCACTTGGAAGACACAGACTTGAGGAGAACATGGTCCTTGTCCTGGAGGAGCCCACAGCTTGGTGAGAAGGCTGTTAAAGCACTCTAGGAGGAAGAGGGCCAGGAACAGCTCAGGCCCATGTGCGAATGGGTGTGGACAGGGAGGAGGAGACTATTGGTCAATCGTAAAAACAAGCCCGGCTGGTGTGGCTCAGTGATTGAGCGTGGACCCATGAACCAGGAGGTCACGGTTCCATTCTTGGTCAGGGCTCTATCCCCAGTAGGGGGCATGTAGGAGGCAGCCAATCAATTTTCCCTTACCATTGATGTTTCCATCTCTCTCTCCCTCTCTCTCTCTCTCTAAAATCAACAAAAACATTTTTCAAAAATAGTAAAAACAAGGCCTAATGCTCTCTGTGCCTTACTCCACCACCATCACATCACCCAATAGCCGGGGACAATCAGGAAAAAGAGAAGACTAGGTCAGGACATGGGAAGAAAGCACAGCCTCCTTCTGCAGGCTAAGGATCCTAACTCAGGATGGGCAGCCGTGCCCTCTGGCAGGAACGAGGGGAAAAAAATAATTCGCATTCCTGAGGCTTCTGCTCTGACCCTGACACATCTCTCTTGCCCAGGAAATCAGGCAGAACGGCGCTCTCTCAGCTCAAAGCCTCCACCCTGGAGCCAGTGGATTCGGACAGCAATTTGCTCTCGGATCCAATAAAACTGTTCTCTGAGAAGGAGGAGGGGGGAACAAGCCCCAGAGCTGAGCTCCCAGGGGAGAGTGAAGAGGGACCACAGAGCCAGAGCGGCCCAGACCGTCATAAAATTTAGGGCTAGAGGGACCTGGGGATGGCTTTCCGCTGTCAAGGAGGGTAAGTCAAACTGCGGTTGGGCGTGGGGTGGCTTCTCCACCAGGGCCTGCCGAGGCACAGCGGGTGTTCTCTGGAACAGGGGGCGCCCAGCTCTCCTCTCCATCCCAAGCTTGCAGATCCATAAAAGGCTCTCGCCACCCTCAGAATGGACAGAGGGAGGGAGAGGCCAAGAGGAGAAGGAGAGTGGTCTCAGCTGGTCAGCCCCTTCTGGGCAACAGGTTCTGAGCACTGGCTGTCCCCACACCTGGGGGGCCAGGGGAGGGAGTGTAGGGTGGGCCTGCCCGAGCCTCAGTGGTCAGCATCCTCAGCGCAGAGCTCGCACTGCCCGTCTGGTTTCCCGAGAACAACAGTCCACCCAGCTCCAGTCCGACTGGGTGAGGCAAAGGCCAGCTCTTGCTGTGTCCACGGGGAGAAACCCCAGCCGTCCCCTCCTTCCCGGGGCTCCAGCACCTGCAAGGATGCTCGGGCTACCAGAGGAGGAGGAGGAGGAGGAGTGGAGCTTTGTGCTGGTTCTGCCCTGGTGGGAGGGGTCAGAGATCAAAGGGCAGTGAGCTGCTGCTCCCCGTGGGCAGAAGGGCCAATAAGGGGGGTGAGGGGAACTCAAATCCCGTTAGAAAAAGGCCGGTCGGCTGGTTAGGTTCCCGGGGGCTGCGATGAGGAGATCAGAGCCCAGAGGGGAGGGTCACCGAGTCCTGGGGCGATCAGAGGGGACAGAGGCAGAGTTTGGGGCCCGCGCCCAGAGGAGTCGGTCGAGAACTGGAACAAAGGTGGGTGAAGGCTCCGGGCCCCCGGGGGTCCGTCAGGAGCCGTGACACCGAGGGGCCGGCGGCCAGGCCACCTTTGTCCCTCTCCGAAGCCCGAGCCCACCGCCGCCTCCGCTCCTGGACCCCCCGCCCGTCCCGCACTCACCCTGTCGCCGCCGGCCGGGGGTCCAGCGGTCCGCTCCTCGGGCGGGGGCGCTGGGGGGCCCGGGGTCTCGACCCCCGGAATCAGGCGGGCGGGGGCGAGCCGTGGCCGCGGGGGCGGCGTGGGGCCCGGGGCCCCCCGGGGCGGCCCAGGGGCAGCGGGAGCCGGGACGGCCCTCCGGAAGAAAGGGGGTCCCTCGAAAGCCCCGGTTCCCGGCTTTACCCGGGTAGGGGGCCAGGGAAGGTCCGGGCGGGAGGCCGGGGG